TGATCGCAGCAGTATAAAGAGGTTATGTAATGTATGGTAGAGATCACCCCGATGTGGATGGCTTTCTGGGTGGTGTGGGTGACAGAGAGGACATAGAGGTGACATAGAGAGGATAACTGACATCTATCTCCCACCCCTCTTGCAAGGGTAGGAGATATGTGTCACTTATCCTCTCTATGGCTCTCATGAAGTGTTGGGGGGCAGGATGAGGTAAAGTTGCAGCTTTTAGCAGTGTTTATTCACGCCCACAGTGTTCCAGGGGATATGCTTCCACACTTACCCCTTTTCTGTTTCTTCTCACAACACTTGTTTAAAGATTCCGGCTTGAGATAGTTGGAATTACCTTGATGCATGGCTCTGGAACCAGTCTCCTTGAGAGGGGCTGGAGATTCTTCCACTCTGGAGTGGTCCCTGGTGAATGGCACCATGCAGGAGTGGACAAATGACAGTGAGATCTGGGCTGCGAGGTTGGGAGGAATGGCCCACCTTGGCCGTAGTTCGATTATCAACTTTGTTGTTGTTTCATCTGACATGCAGCTGCATGTCTTGAACACTCGGGTGAAGAGAGCTCTCTACCGACCCCTACCTAGCGGTGAGTTAGCTCCGATGGTGGGGGAGGACGCCGGTCAGACCTGGTAGGCCCAAATGTATTATGAGGGTTTGCTAGCAACGTCCCCCATGAGACGGACATTTAACTACCATATCCGGGAGAGCTTTGAACACGTTTCGAGGGAGATGGACGACATTGAGCCTGAGTGGTTCATTGACCTGTGGGACTCCAGAAGCAGCTGACGTGTACCGGTAGTCAAAGGGGCAGGTGGCTAGGCCGGTAGCTGAGGCAAAAACTGAGGTAAGAGTTCTAATAGGCCATGGAGAAAGACTTCAGTAGCGATTCTGGTCTACAATCCGGCGTCTCAGGAGCAGGAAGCAGTGTAGTACCAACACTATTTATAGTGGGGTTGGTGTGCTGCTGACCTCAACTCAGGTATTCGTGTGTAAGAGGGCAGAGTACTTTGAAGACACCCTTAATCCCAACAACATTGAGGAAGCAGAGCCTGGTGGCTCCGGGTCGGGTTCTCCCATCTCTGGTGCTGAGGTCACTGAGGTGGTTTAAAAGCTCCTACGTGGCAAGGCCTCAGGCGTGGATGAGATTCACCCTGAGTACCTTAAGGCTCTGGATGTTGTGGCTGTGTTGGTTAACGCGACTCTGCAACATTGCGTGGACATTGGGGGCAGTTCCCCTGGATTAGCAGGCCCCTAGTGGAGGAGCCCTTAGTGTCTCAAGAAGTTTAAAAAAAGGATTCAGAGGGTGTGTTCCAACTACAGATGAATCACACTCTTAATACTCCTTGGTAAGGTCTATATGGGGGGGTTCTGGAAAGGAAGCTCAGTCGGACAGTCGTTGAATCTCAGATTCAGGAGGAGCATATGGTTTTTGTCCTGCCGTGGAACACTGGATCAGCTCTACACCCTCAGCAGGATCCCGGAGGGTGCATGGGAGTTTGCTCAATCCAATCTACATGTGTTTTGTGGATCTGGAGATGGCATTCGACTGTGTCCCTCTGGGGGTACTGTGGGGGTACTCCGGTAGTATGGAGTCTCTAAAGTTCTGCTCTTTCTGCCTTTTCTCATAGTAGCTTTGCCTCGTCTGTTCCTGTTTGGCTGAGACACCACCGTGGAGAGAAATATCAGCTGTGCTGCTGCCATCAACACCTTTGTTTATAGATGCTGGAGATCGGCCTGTTTTTCCAGTGTAGTCCTGTTTCTGTGACTGGCTGGATGTGCTCTCTTTTACCTCTGACATGGGAGTTAGCTCAGAGGTCATCTGCCTGGTTGTGTGTTTCATGGACAGGCCTTTTATAATTGCTTTTTGTATCTCTACCTCTGTCCCATTGAACCCCAGTCGGCCTCGGCAGATGGCTGCTCACACTGAGCCTGGTTCTGCTGAAGGTTTCTTCCTGTTAAAAGGGAGTTTTTCCTCACCACTGTCACTACAAGCATGCTTAGTGTGAGTGATTGCATCCGAGTCAATTAGTCGATGCAATCAACTGCTTTTCCTTAGATAGAAAACTTTGAATGAATTTGACTGTATGATCTGGTGAACTGTAAAGTGCCTTGAGATGACGTGTTATGAACTGGCGCTATATAAATAAACTGAATTGAAGAAGATGGATGGATGGATGGATGGATGGATGGATGGATGGATGGATGGATGGATGGATGGATGGATGGATGGATGGATGGATGGATGGATGGATGGATGGATGGATGGATGGATGGATGGATGGATGGATGGAGTAGAAATGCAAATATTGGCCCAATGTCTTTTTTGATCTATATTTTGGTTTATTACACTTGTGAACATTGTCAAATATTTGTATATCAAATTGAACTAACAAATAGTCACATAGTCAAAATACTGCAAATAGCACCTTGCCACTCCCCCACCTAAAAAGAAGAAGTAGATAAAATGTGGGCCATTGTTTATCAGTTTGAATACAATGCTTTTTGGTAATTTCATTAAATTCGTCTTTCATTAGATTACATAGAGTTTCATGTTTGTAGAGATTGACAAAATTAATTCATTATATTTATATTTTAGGAATCAGAAATTCATTAATGTATAAAATGTGTTCCAGTTCGGTGCAGGATGTCTGATCACTGCTTTAATTAAGCATCCGGGGATTCAAGGAATACATGTTAGGTTTAGGGTAGGGGTTTCCCCAGGAAATTGGATTTTGGTTTAATTAAAAATCTATGAACTATAAATCTACAAACTACTCCTTTACTCCTTTACTATGTACTGCTCGTGTGTGTCCTTATGCTGCTGCAATAATTTTCCCTTCTAAAATGGTTTATCTGATTGTATGACTCAACTGAACTAAAGTGCTTTTAGAGAATATCTTCTGAGTTACTGCTATAGAATCAAACTGAACTTAATGTTTTTTTGTTTGTTTTTTTGTTTGTTTTTTGCTGCTGGTAAACTAGCAACTAATGTTGCAGATTTCCACAGAAAAAGAAAATATTTTTTTCTTTTTCTCCAAGTTAAGTTTTCCCCATTGGATAGTTTGAGGAGTCACTAAATCCTTTGCTCTTAAAAGGATTTCCTACAACTTAATAGTTATTAGATTTATTCGTGGTCAGTCTTAAACATTTTCTCAAACTGTTTATTTTTTTAAAACTCTTAACATGTAAACTGAAGCCCATATATAGATGAAGTTATTGCTCTTACCTTTTTTTCAGAAATTTCAACATCTTTCAATTTCTTGTCTGTCTCGTCTTTTCTGAAGGTGAAGCAGTCTGTATGTCCTAAAGCAGAAATGATAAACTAACTTTGGGCTCTCCAACTAGTCAGACCTGTTTTCCTGTTTTTGTATGACTTGTGCACTGCTGTGGTGGATTATGGCATTTACACACTGTTTGTGATTATAATTTGAAATTCAAAGACTTAAAAGTAAAAAGGACAACTAAACTGGACTTATTAGCTCTATGACCAGCTCTGATTTGGATGACATTAAATCATAACCTCTTTAGCAACATTGTAGAAATAGGTATAGACATATGGGATTTTTCCCATATGGACATAAACCTGTCACTAACAACCTAAAACATGAAAAAAAAAAAAAAACAGGAAAATAAGATAGAAAGATATAATCCCTTCTCTTTAGGCAATAAGATATCAATATTAATTGTCTGATGATTATATTGAATTGACTGAAAATGCAAACTGATGCAGTTAGTTGCACTGTGCCTTGCAACAAGAGGTCCTAAATTTGAATCACAGCCCAGGGACTTTAACATGAACTTTTCATGTCCTCATAGTTATGTGCAGGTTTTCTCCAGGTACTCCAGATTCCTCCAACACCAAAAACAGAACATGGGTGCATGGTTGTGTTACTCTGTATTGCCCTGCCAGGAGCTTGTGACCTGTCCTGTACCACACCTTTCACCCAAATACTGCTGGAGATACTGTAGGTAAAAGATAATAGATGAATGATTAAAAATAAAATTTGTAGTATATCTCTTCAGAAAAGTCATAATTCTTCATCCACTTTGTCACATTTATATTAAAAGAGTGTTGGGATCAGAATCAGGTGTTAAACAAAGAGATATCTGTCTATAACAGCGCAAAGTATTCCCTATCCATATTGGATGAATGATCTATCTGTGAGGTGCAGGGTATGAAGCCTGCTTTCTTTCAGACCCTGATTATTTTTTGTATTTCCACTGTAAAAATGTAGTAAACGTATAGGAAGATAGAACAACGAAGTAGGAAAGATTTTTGGTCCACAGCTTTAGTGGGAAATGCAACTAAATATCTATTGCTTGATTGCAGATGCACTTACCCTCTATTTTACTCAATATACTGTAAATCTAACAGAAGAAAAGACATAAAATTTACTCTTCCTGAAAAATCAACAAATATTAAGGAACGCTACTAAATCCCAGTGACAGAAGCACATTTAAATCATTACTTTCACCCTCTGTTTATATTTCAAAGGGTAATTGTATTCCTTTACTTCTGCAAAATGACAGGTGTTCTGTCTTAAAATTATATAACTGGAAACATCAATAAAATGAATAAAAAAAAGCTTTCTATTCAATTCTAAAAATATTTTTATGGTTATTGTGTGATGTGTGATTGTCTTGTACTACAGTAAGATATCAGGCAAGCCAGTTTTTAAATGGTAAAACACAACATGTGGATTTTGTAAAAGAAAAACATTTAAATGAAAGGCTTCTTGACATGTACCTGTCGATCCAACCACATAATATGCGTGAGCTAGGAGATGCTTCGCTTTAAACTGTGAAGGTTTAGGAAAATCAAGTTATGCTTTTATAACAAAAAGCAAGAATCACAACAGTTCCATCAGTTAAAGCTGGTTTTCAATTAAATTCAATGAAAACAGGTGATTTCTTTTGACATTTAAAGCATAAGATACTGCTTGACAAACAGGTTCTGTTGGTTAATGTGAAAGTAAAACTAAAACAATCCAGCAAGCAGCAGTCATTTCCTCTCTACAAGTTCTATAACAAGTTTCTGGATAACAAGTTTACTCCCAGAGTGACAAAAAGATCTTAGCGAGACAAAAACAGAAAACATTTTTCATCTGTAAGTAACATCGTTTTTATTCTCTTTTCTGAATATTAACTATACAAAACTAGTACTTTCAGTTAAAAATCTTTGCAGTTTATATCGCAATTTATATTTAGTAGAAAAACCTGTTTTGAAGCTGGTTATAAAATATATATCTTAATCTTTTACAAACTGATCAAGCAAAGACGAAGATGTCTAGGAAACGTTTGCATCCGGAAAGGTAAGGTGTAGATTTACTTCTTGTTGATGAAATTTTTCAAATTAAAATACATTAAGTGACCATATGTAACAGATTTGAGAAAGTTCTGTTGGAAGCCTGAGGGAGGTTAAATACTAAAATTTATTACAGTTGGTTTTTAAAAATAAAAAAGTGAAATTGAATCTGTGTTCTCACAGCCCATCATACGCAGCTCATGGTACAGTGACACAAAGGTAAATATACTTAAATATGTCTTTAATACACTTTTCAATATGAAAACATTACATTCATTTGGTAATAAAACATTCATAAACTTGTCATGATCTTAGTTGCTGAGTTGAAGCATTAGTTTTAGAAGAAAAGAAATGGTAAAATTGATCTAAAACCATTTTTGCAAATGTCATTACACACCTGGTTATCGTTAATGAAACAAAATCTAAATTGCAAAATCTTGTTTAATTTAATCAGTAAATCAGACATCTAATATGTTTTTTAATGGAATGACAGGTTGAACTATATTCAGACAGCAATCAATGTATTGTTTTTGTAAGGAGTATAAGTTTTAACTTCACCATAACTGGTCTTAAAGGGATAGTTCGGGATTTTTGACATGAATCTGTATGGCATCCCCATCACCAGTGTCATGCAATCACACTGACTTACCCCTGGCAGCATCCTGTGAGCAGAGTTCTCGTCCAGCTTTGGTCAAGCCGAAAGTAGTCCGGCAGGTTTGCTAGACCCAGCGAAATAAAACGTTTCTCTTCCCAAAACATATTGTGTTCAAAAGAGTGATATTTTTGCATCCCAAAAACATTGTAGTGGAAAAAGTCACACGTCGTTATCACTTGGTCCTATTTTCTCTCTGTTCGTATCAGTGCGCGCGACACCATGACCTGACAGCTAGGGCCTACCTGTTTGATTCGCGATTGTTTACTACTGGGGAAGATGTCTGACTACGAGAGCGACGAGGAAAACATCGACTTCCACTTAGAGCCAAAGGGATATCTTTATGAACCCGAGTACACTGACGATGAACTTCGACAAATGGAGTTAGATCGGGCAGAAAGAGAGAGGGTGGACAGAGAAGTGATGGAAGCTGAAGCCGGAGCCGCAGGACCCACAGCTGGAGCTGCGATATCCAGGGTGGCCGACAAATCATGGTGCACTTGTTTCAAGTGCGAATTAATGCAGACAGAGGTGGAATGCTACTGTTGCTACGAGTGGGATTTAGTAATGCCCGAGATACAGAACCTTTCCATTGATGAGGATGTCGGAGTTGCAGCAGCTGCTGTCTGCATCACTGAAAGCACTGAAATGAGCTGGAAAAGTTGAGCTCGCTGTCAGAATGACGGCGCGCACTGATACGAACAGAGAGAAAATAGGACCAAGTGATAACGAGTTGCAAAAATATCACTCTTTTGAACACATAATGTTTTGGGAAGAGAAACGTTTTATTTCGCTGGGTCTAGCAAACCTGCCGGACTACTTTCGGCTTGACCAAAGCTGGACGAGAACTCTGCTCACAGGATGCTGCCAGGGGTAAGTCAGTGTGATTGCATGACACTGGTGATGGGGATGCCATACAGATTCATGTCAAAAATCCCGAACTATCCCTTTAAGAGCTTTTATTAATATAGACATACTGAAACCATCCTGGTAAAGTAGAAGATGTCCATATTTTGATAGCTTTGAGATAAATGAAATGTGATAGCAGAGAAAAAGGCTTGATGCATCCCATCCTATAAGATTGTTTATAGTTATTGGATATAAATTGTTATAAATTATGTTAGCTTTATGTAGTCCCAGTATCCAGAGAGAAAGATTACAAGTTCATCCTGAACCAAGGAAAATTTGTGATAACTGTTGTCTCTCAGCAAAAGATTGAAAACAGAAATGAAGATGGAATCTAGCTGCCATCAATGTGAACAACAACAAAGGTCTGGTTTTTTGAGCACATTTGACTTGATCAATATCAATGAATCCTTGAATCAAAATTAACCAGAATTGTTTGGATTACAGTTTGGCTGAGATGGAGGCTTTTTACAGGCAGAAGTTGAATGAGGCCAGGTGAGTATTTCTCTGTGGTGAAACACAATAAAGACAGCAAATGAGAACAAAACTCACTAAAGTAACTTGCTGTGCTCCAGCTGTTATCTGATCAGTAAATGACTCCATCCATAGGTCTGCTCTGAAGAAGAAAGAAGAAGAACTAAGATCATTCAAACAGAGGTGGTGTAAAAACATCAATAGCTAAAACAGCTTTAGAACATGTTCCAAATATCATTGTGAGACAAAGTCTCTAGATCTCTGTTCTCTCTGTGTGAACAGAGTGGCTGCAAATGTGGCTGTGTCATTAAAGACATCAAACACTGAGAGCATGAACGACCCAGTCAGTAAAACCAGACTGACTGAGATGTACGACAACCTGAAACTGCTGCAGTGGCCTAAAACGAAAGATCAGCTGAAGTCCAGGAACGTCGGCCCAAAGGAGGCCAAGGATCTGATCCAGGTGCAATAGATTCTCAGAAATACATGACTCTGTAGTTTATTCAGCTGCTGCAGGTTCTTTGGTCTAAACTTTTATCTGATTTTTCCAGAAAACCTTTGGAGCTGCATCTGAAGAAATGAGGAGAAAAAGGGACCAGATAGAGGAGGTGTTTCGACTGGCAGAGTCCACCACAGGAATGACTCAAAAGGTACTGGACTGTAGATCTGGTGTCTTCACTGGATCATGAATGGAGCTAGTAGAGTTAGACCTCTTCCAATCCCCAATGGTCCCTTTGTTCCAGGTTCAAGAGTTCAGACAGCTGACAGTTCAGAACCTAAAGGTGGCGCTGTTCCACAGCAGCAAAGAAGATCTTCTAAAGGCATGACAGATGTTTCAGCTTTGTAAACCTAACAGCTAACAACTACTGATCAAGTTAAACTGTAATTTTTCTTCTTTTGTCAGACTTGCTTCCCTGGACACGGAGGTCAAAACTCACAGGAGGTGGAGGCGGATCTGAGATCTCTGACCTCTGAGTGCTTCTGGTTGGGATGTTTGATGGGTCTGAATAATCCTCCACTTCAGCCTGATTGGAAGAACCACGTTACTTCCATGGATTCTTGGGACATTTTCCCACGAGACATTAAAAACTCAATTGCACTGTAAAATATGCTCTCTTTTGACATTTTATGTGGGACTACTGATACTAGAGATACATCGATCTGATATCTGCTCCAAAGTTGACTAATTAGCTTGATAACATAATATTAATCTGATGCAGTACATTTACATGGAACTGATATTTCTTCTTTATTGCTATCTATTTGTTAATAAATAATATAAAGTATATTTATATCTGTGTTTATTTGTTACCTGTTTTGAGAAAATTATTATATTAAGGGAAAAGTTGTCAAAGATAAATGGTTTATTCATTCAATAGTTGAATCAGATAACTATCAGATATCAATTGATACACCCATCCCAGGTATCGGTATCAAATTTGATCGGAAAAAAAGGGATCACTGCATCTCTAATTGATACCCGTGGTATACGTTTCAAGTAACAATTATTTCATCGACATATAACTTCTAAGTAAAAGTGATACTATTATTTTGGCCTGGAATACGTATGAAGCAAAAGATTAAATTGTTGAAAATTACCTTCACTCATTACTGAAGATAAAAAGTAAATAAGTAAGTATGGAAATATGCAGAAAACAGGACAGCTATGGAGTGCAGTGCTGTATTGCTAATAAATATTTTAATTATTTATTAAGAACAGCATAAATAATTTTCAACATGTAATTTCTCCAAAATGATTAATAATAAATATTTTTAACTTAATTAACAAAATACTAAACTTTTCTTAAAGAAAAGTGTTTTAGTTTAGATCTGATCAGAAACAAAATTGTTAATAGAAAATATTTGCTTCTTCACTAATAATATAAGAAGAAAAAAAATTAGTTACGGTCCTCAGGTGGTTGCGTTTTCTACTGGTTATAGTCACCTGATTTTGGTTAAAACTAGTTTAACCTGAAAGTCTTGTCTCCTATTTCCTTGTCTTTCTAAAAAAATTTCTATTAAAACCCACAGCCACACACTACAGATAACATTAAAAGATTGAATGTAAATTGTGTTCAAACAGAGGCAGAAGTGATCACCCAGCTGATCCGGGAGGCGAGGAGACCTCGCAAATGCCTAAGGATCTATTCCACACAAGCTTGTGTCAAAAGCTCTGACAACATACCACGTCCCTGAGAAGATCACTGAACTCATATGGGACTACTACAGTAGTTTCAGCTTGAGATTCACCTCTGGAACAACAACATCTGCATGGCACTGCCTAGAGAAGGGCATTATCACTAGTTGCACAATGTCAGTGGTGTTGTTTGCCCTAGCGATGAACATGCTGGTCAAGGCTGCAGAAGTAGAATGCAGGGGCCCCTTGTCCAGATCCGGCATTCTGGACCAATTAGGGCCTACAGAGATGACCTGACTGTCACATCGACATCAGTGACTGGATGCCGGTGGCTCCTCCATGGTCTGGAAAGGATCATGGCATGGGCAAGGATGATGTTTAAGTCAGCCACGTCCAGATGCCTTGTCCTGAGGAATGGGAAAGTGGAGGACAAATACCGTTTCTATGTGGATGGAGTCCCAATTCCGGCAGTGTCAGAGAAGCCTGTGAAGAGCTTAGGGAAGATCTTCGATAGCATCCTGAAGGACAAAGCAGCAGTGGAGGCAGCCCATGTAAAGCTAAAGGCATGGCTAGCAGCAGTTGGGTTTCCCAGACGAGGGTGTCTGAAGATCAAAGACCCGAAACAACGTATGGCCCTGGGTACTTCACTGACGATGTGTTCAAGCTGCACCAGCTAGGTGTTTCAAAATCCATCTACGTAAACATATCACCAGAATGATTGACAATTAGAAGGACTGCTTTTTTAGATGATCCACCTGGAGCAAATCAAATATCTGTTTTTTATATTGGCCCCCTCTCTCTGTCATCAAGGTACCAAAATGTGTAACAAACACATCATTATGAATGTCCCCAGCTAAATCAGGTTATCATGTTATTTGAAATGAAATATCGTCAAACTGGGGTTTATCTAAGGTGGGGGGCAAAGGAGGGGCCACAGTTCCCCTTTTAGTAATTCCATCAAAATAAAGTTTGTTTCCAAGTAGGTTTGCACTTAAGATTGGTTTGACTTGGTGTTGATGGTGCAGACAAATTTGATATATATACAGAATACAGAATCTATAGCTATATACAACATAAAGCAAACAATATACTGCATACAAAAAAGGCAGAGGGAGAGAGGCAATGTCAGTGTCAAGGGGGTCTCTGGGCCTTATTGATTAAGCTGGTAGCAGATGGGAAAAAACTGTTCTTGTTGCGTGAGGACTGCAGCCTCCTGCAATTATAAAGAACAAGCAAGGTTGGTTATTGACATACCGATAAGCAGTGGCATCCTCCCTTACGAAAAAAAGACTATTTCTTATTGCAAATATATGGCCAGTGTCATATTTTATTTTTATTTAAAATAATTAAGATTGATATCTGCATTCCAGATTATGAATATTGTCTTCTGTTTTTGATACATCCTTATAGGTTGACACTAGGGGGTGTAAATAATAATTGTTTTGTATGGATCCAACAGCCGACGATCCGATGCATCGACATGTCCGCAAGAGTATCAATTCGTGTTTTTTTTTTCCTCCCGGTCTATTTTTAGCCATTTGCTCCTGGGCGTAATTCTCCCTCCCGTGCTGCGTTGGCGCTAAACATATTTTGCCCTCCTACCTCGCTCCCTGGTTATTCTCCTGCAGCAGTGTGTTGCAGTAAGCTTGACACAGACATTTTTGATTTATGCTCAATATTGAAGCGTGGTCTGTGCTACACTTTGGGTCTAGATACGGCCGAGGCGGTGAGGAAGTGGAGGCGATTTTAGTCCGACGACGGAGGGACATGAGGGCCAAAAAGAGTGGGGATCCAGGTGGAAAAAGGGTTCCAGCGTTCTCGCGCACCTTGCTATTCTAGAGGTTAAACTTCACGAGTTGTTTTCCGCAATTTCGGTCATAAAAACAAAACAAGCCGGCGTCCTGCTGCGGCACTGTTTGCGGTCAGCTACAATTTGGGAGAGGTGCGGTGGAGCATCTGTGGAGGGGGCGGGGACGTCTGGAGCCGAGGTATTGCATTGCACTCATTGCACTGATTATGTGCAGTATTTTTTGATGCAAAGCCTTTCAGAATCTATAACGCAGGGGAATTATTATTTTTCAGTGAATGAGGTTTTAATAGGAATAGGTGGAGTGCAACTTTTGTACTTCTGTTATTTGCTGTTGTTTTTTAAAACAAAATGCATAACGATATTACAGCTTTCATTGATTTATTTCAATTTTGAAACATTTTCTAGCATGTAAGGTGTAAAAAAAAAAAGCAAAAAAAAAAAAAAAAGAACCAATTTATCGAATTGAATCATATCGTGGCGTATTCTTGAGTATCGAAAAATAATCGAATCCTTGGGTCAGTAAATCGATACTGAATCGAATCGCCATGATGGGTGTGATTTACACCCCTAGTTGACACCACATATGTATGTAGAGTAGAAAAATCCCTGCCTTATTTTTTTCTATTCTCATGCTCACATACCACGATTTGCCAAACCAACTGGCAACTGCTGCTCAGTCCACCTCTCCTTGACAATTTTCTTTGCTTCCTGTCTTTTACACTTTTTAGCAAATAATTTCTGAATATTTTGAGATTATTTTCATTCTTGCTATTCTGTTTTACTGTGCTTACTAGCTGGTTCTGACAGAAACAAACAAAACCTTGACTATTGTTCAAACTTGTCCAGGACTGGTTTTCCAGGGTTGTTCTGCAGTTTTATATACCCCCATTTCAATTAAACTCTAATTAATCAGCGAATATTATGTAAACCAGGAAAGTTTCTAATAGCAGGATCTATGAACACAGCACAGTCAGTGGCAATGTCAATTTACATTTGATTTCATATCAAATTTGGTCGTCTTAGCTTTTCGGGGGCACATGGTGTGGATTGCTGGGGTAGCCCGTTCCCCTTGGACCACCCGACTGGACGTGCCCTTGCTGCTGGAAGACTTTGCAAATGGGAACATTAGGAGGGAATGTTCTTACTGTGGTTATAAAGATATTGTGGCCCTTAATGATCAGTGATGGGACTAACGGCGTATTTTGTATTTTAAACATTATTTGATGGCAGGGATCCATATTTTATGTCACACACAGATTATACATCTAGATAGATAGATGGATAGATAGATGTTGCAGTATCTATAACAACCCAAACACACAGGATTTCAGAATTAGACATCCCCAGTTATTAATTTCATATACTCAGCAGATCTGAACGCCCTGTTAAAAAACTTCACATCGCATTCCCCCCTGATGCCATTTACGTTGAGTTGCAATAAATGCAAAACTCTGCAGGTTCTTGTCTTTGTCGTCCTCTCTATTCAGATGGCTTTAGAAACACACGGCGAGAAGGTGGGGGCTGGGTGGTGAGGGTTACGGGGGCGAGAAACGCAAAAGTAACGCAATAGTTACTTTTACTAGTAACTACTTACTTTAATTGTGGAGTAACTCAGTTAGTAACTCAGTCACTTTTTGGGAGAAGTAACTAGTAACTATAACTAATTACTTTTTCAAAGTAACGTGCCCAACACTGTTAATGATAACTACCATAAGAGATGAGATAAGTTCAGATAAGAAACGATAAAATAGAATTTATTGATCTCACAGTGGAGAAATTTTGGCTGAAGTTGTGCGAAAGCAATGTGTTGCAGACCCACTATGGCCTTTGCCAAGGCAGCCTATTCCAAGAGGAGCATTTATTAGACGAAAGTGAAACACAATGTGCATGGATGCACTTTGAATGGGCAAGTCAGTAAAGTGGTGCGACAAACATCTCATGATCTCCTGCTTTTTTTCTAATCACCTTAAATTGTTTCCAAGGATTTGGAAAAAATTTCACACATTAAATTTTTTTCTACGTGAGTTCAAATATTTTGCTTTTTCAGTTGTTTTATTTCTGTGCTCATATTTATTATGGTTGTGGATTAACTGCATGAACATAATTTTTTAAACATAAAGAATAAGAAAATATTGTCCAATGTTTGCTCATGTGGTCTTTTACTTTTAAACTCGACCAGTTCTACTTTGCTTATTATTCACTGACTTCCTCCTTGAATGATCCGCTCAGCTTTAGACTGAAATTGAATAGAGGGGGCAACAGTAGAGCAACTGGACGTATCTGGGACACCTCAAAAACGTGCTGCGGCATGCCCTGTGAAACTGTCTG